TACCATTTTGATGAAGCTTACTTGCAGACCCCATTTTTTATTTCCAAATGTCCCAACACTCTTTCCTTTTTGAACATGTTATATGTGCAAAACCCTAGGTGGCATTAACCAGCTAGGTAGTTTTCTCTTCAGTGCCATGTAAAATAATGACATGAATAATTTCTCTTTAGAGCTAGCTGCCGCGTGTTTTTGTTTTAGCTGTGTTTCATCACTCCATAAATTTCACTTTCTTTCAAAAAAAATTGTTTGATACAAAGTGAGAAGTTATCCACTTTGCTAAGAGGAGGGCTAGCCAGTACTGAGATGAGGACAACTATATTAATTGAAAAATAGTTGTGACTTCTAGGAATTCTCTGTGCCAGAGCTGTGGATGCACCATGGGTAATTACCTTCTTTGGTGTTGCTAGATACTTTGAATTTGTGAATGGTAGAATTGAGGTAGATCAGCTATTGTTTAATGGTAAAACAGGCTCAAATGATCAAAAGACTTGTCTCTGTTCCTACTACTTAAATTGTATATAGTTATGGGGTCCCTTACTTTTGAAGGAACTCTATGTGGTGTCACTCCTAGCATAACCAGTCACTTCAGGCATGGCTTTGACACGTTTTAGCAAATACAGTTTATTCAATGGGGATATGGACATAGAGAGCTTTTCCTCTGTTGACATCCTACTGTCTCAAGTTATGTGCAAGCCTTCCTCGCATGTGTTTGTGATGTTTGACAAACGGGATTGAGGACTGCAAGACTGGTGATTAACAGAATGATAAATAGGTGAATTAGCATTTCCAGGCAAGTGAAAGAAAACAGGAAATGAAATCCTGTAGCGTTATAGTAAGTGCAACTTTGCACAGAGAGGGAGAACACAGTTCACTTTACTTAAACAAGTACTGCAGCCATGTTCAAAGTCTATAACATTGTCATGCTTTATTTCTTCCCACTGATGAAGTAGAACTTCTAAATTAGGAGAAGGTTAATTTCAATGGGAGAGGGGAACCTAACTATATTTAAAATGGAACCAATTATGGGCAGAAAAAACTGCAATGGAACCACAGATGATCTTTAGAAAGCAATGCTTTCAGGTACAGACAAGATACAAAAACAAAGTTGCTGGAAAAGCTCAGCAGGTCTGACAGCATCTGTGAAGGTAAAAACAGAATTAACGTTTCGGGTCTGGTGACCCTTCTTCGAACAGACAAGATACATTTCATCATGAAGTGAACCGAATCCAAGGAGCCTTAGTTGGGTGACAAGGGAGACAGGAAATATGATGCATGTCAAATTTTTCAAGCAAGAATAAAGGAGCAACTAAGATATATCAGGATGACGTGTGGAAGAATGTTTTTTTATATAGGTAATATATAACGATGATCTGGAATTTGCTGCCTGAGTGTAATGGAACTGGAAATGAATAATTTCAAAAGGAAATTGGATGTGCATTTGAGCGAAATGAACTTACATGGCAATGGTAATATAGCATGGCAAGTAAGACTGAAGATCCAGAACTGGCAGTATTTTTATGGACTGAATGGCATTCTTCTGCACCCTAATGTCTTCAGAACCCTTGGGGGTTAGTAGAAAGTGAGGGAAGGGAGTAGCATAGGTTGCCTCTCCCTTTTCCTGGTTATCTGCTCAAAATCTATCACAATCAACTTTTACCACATTTGAGGTCATTGACTGGAAACATTAATATAGCTTTTCTCTCTAAAGACAAAATGCTGCTTGCCGAGTATTTCCAGTATTTTGTTTTTAATCACAAAATTTTAAGTCACATCTATATCGAATTCAATACCCTTTTAAAACACAATGTTAATTTCTGCCAATCAGCCTGTCTGGCACTGAACGTAACAATTACTTCTTCTTGAAAAAAACGTTTGAATTGTTGATTTAAAAATATAATTGGATTTTTTCCCCCAACCTTTCTAGTCTTTTAACCTTTGATCCAATATATATTTCTCTACAGAGATAGCAAGAATTGCAAATGCTGGACAACACAGTATGAAGTTGGAGGAACACAACAGGCCAGGCAGCACCAGAAGAGCAGGAAAGTTGACGTTTCGAGTCAGGACCCTTCTTCAGAAATGGGGAGTGGGAAGGGAGCGGAGGAATAAATTGGGGTGGGGAGGGGGCTAGGGAAATGTAGGTGGGATGGTGATAGGTGACTGCAGGAAGGGAGTGGTGCCTCCTGGACCTGACACAGCCTGTCTGTCATTTTCCACACCTAGCCACCCTACCCTTCCCACTGACCAAACTCACTAGCCCCTACCTGCATCCAACCTCCCACCACCCACCTACCTTTCCCCAGCCCCACCCATCCTTCATCTTCTCTCCCACTCCTATCCACCCCACCCATTCCACTGACCAATCCCCAACAGCACTCACCTATCACCATCCCACCTACTTTTCTCCAGCCACACCACACACCCTCCCTCCCATTTATTTCCCAGCTCCTTTCTTCCTTCCCATTTCGGAAGGGTCTGAACCAGAAACGTCAACTCTATTTCTTTAGATTTATTTTTGTATTTGACTTGACAAAAAATTCACCTTCTACAAATTTAATCCTGTCCTTACACTTAATTTACAATCCTTAAATCTGATTGGTCAAAGAGATTCACGACTGACTGCGACATTCACTCAGGTGCCTTTCGCTTATCTACAATATTAGTAGTTTCCATTTTCTGCAATTTCAGGTACAAAGACCTGTTGCAAAGCCAAGACCACATAACATTTTCTTGTCATTTAATCCCTCCACCCTCCCACCTACACTCCTTTTATTGTCTTCCCCAGTCTCTCTGCCTGCTACTCTACATGCTCAGAATTGGTTACATCTCCTACTTCTACCAGTTTTGACAAGACCACAGACCTAACGTTCTGAACCTCTCTTCACAGATGCTGACTTACTGAATATTTTCAACATTTTCCATTTTAATTCACATTTTCAGCAACTGCTGTACCTTATTAACATCAAACATTGTAGCAAATCACTCCTCTAATCAAGAAGGGAGGTACAAAACAGAAAACTATAGGCTTAACATGTTATGGGGAAGGTGTTGGCATCAATCATTAAATAATTTGTAGCTGTGCACTTTGTAAAGCTCAAGGCAATCTTTGTGAAAGGAAATTCATGTTTAACCGATTTACTGGAGTTCTCAAGGAGAAATTTGCATTGTAGATTAAGGACAGCCTGTAAACGAACTCTACTTGGATTTCCAGAAGGCATTTGAAAAGATACTACATAAAACGTCATTGTACAAAGTAGGAGCTCATGCTGTATAAGTAGCAATTCAACACGGTTAGAGGATTAGCTGACTGGCAAAAAAATAGAATATGAATAAATGGGCCCTTTTTGGATTGGCAGCATGTGACGAATGTCTGGCAGGGGCCTCACACTTTTAAAATTTATATCAATGATTTAGGTAAGGGAAAGAAAGACATGGAAGCTAAATTTGCAGATGGCACGAAGATAGGCATGTCTGTTGTGGAGGACACAAAGTATGATTATAGATAGGTTGATTGAGTGAACAAACATTTAAGAGATAGAAATATATCTTGTGAAATGTGCAGTTCACTTTGGCAGGAAGAAACAAGAAGTTATTATTTAGCCAGAGAACAACTGCACAATTCAGAGGGGTAGAAGGATCGAGGTGCTCTAGTGCAGAAATCATGAAAAGTCTACAGGTTCAACAATTAAGGCAGCTAATGTAATGCTATCCTTCACTGTGAAATGGGCTTGACAGAGTGGATAGGACCGGAGCTCTCTTCTTGTGGTTAAGTTCATAACTAGGAGGTACTGTTTAACAATTAGGGGCGACCATTTAATGAGAGGTGTAAGCTTTTTTTGAGAGAAATTAGCATGTTTGAAAGAATAGGAAAAAAATCATACAATTTAGATATGTCTGGAAGAGTCAAAACCAAATGGCCTTGAATCAAGTTAGCAGAGAAAAGTAAAAAAGCCTCCAAATTACTAGATTCTGAGGGCATGTTTCATACAACTGTGTCCATGTGCTGATTACCAAAAACAGATCAGAGTTTTAACCAACACGCTTCTAATTGCCCCACGTGGAAACATTGTTTCCAAATACACTATCGCGATCCCCCAGGATTGTGTGCTTCAATCAAGTCACGTCTTTCTCTTCTAAACTCCAGCGGATAGAAGCCTAGCCTGTCAAACCTTTCCTTGCAAATCCAAGTACAGTTCAGTATACTTTCCCAAACTGCCTCCAGCACATTTGCATCCTTAAGTAAGATGACCAATATTCTGCAAAGTACTCCAGATGTGGTCTCACCAGTGTTCTGAATACCTCTGTCCTTTAGTATTCAATTTGCTTTGTGACAAATGATCACATTTTATTGGCATTCCTAATTACAAGCTCTACCTGCACATTAAATTTTTGCAATTCATGCACAAAGACACGCAGATCTCTTTGCATCTCAGAGTTCAGTTTCCATATGTGGATCGTCCAAGTTACAATGTCAGCGGTGACGTCCACAGCTTCAAATTACAAATTTACAAAATACCATGTAATTACCATGTATTTTTAAATACTGGATGTTGAAATAAAGCCTCAGTACACAGAACTACTACTTTTTGTTGTATTAATTTGATCAATTATCTTTGTATTTGCAAATATACTTTAAATAAGGTAACTAGCAGTGTGTAAAGTCTTGTACTGCCAAATCTATTGGTCTATCAAGGTCTATCAATTTCAACTTCTGATTATTATTTGACGAACAGAGTGGCAACAATAAAAATACTTCAAAAGGAGCAGAAAATCTTTCTTTGCCATATAACACAGGATCACGTACTCCACATACTTGAATGGTGATGAAAAAAGAAGACTTTTGTTGAAGCTATTAATCCCCCACTCAGGACAATTTATAAGACTACCAGTGATGGGAAAAAACATTTGTACAGAACGAGAAGATAATGCTGATTGGTTAGCAAGTAAACGGTGATTCGTTGAGGAATTGTCATAAAGAATGCATCAGTTAATGTTATTTGTACAGTACAAAATGTTTATTCCCCCTTTATTGAGAGTCCTGATGAACTTATGGCTAAATGCTTCAAACAGTCTTTTATCAGCAATACACAAGTTCTGTATTACCAAATGGCCATTCATGTACACAGCTGTAGTTGATTCGAGTTGGCATACGGGTCTCAACCTTCAAACAAAAAACCGGAACACAACGCTTTGGAAACTGGAAATCTGGGACTTTCTTTGGTTGAACTCAGTAAAGCACTGAAGGGTTAAAATAGAGACACACTGGCTTTGAAGGAGCATCCAGCTAACATACACAAAAGGAAACACTGTCTTACCCAAAGAGGTTAAAAGTTTACTTTACCCATTAAGGATACAAATTAAAAACTTAATGAATTGTAAAATACTGCATTTGTACAAGACTGCAAAGTAAGTGAGATTTTAAACTTAAAGATACTGTAAAAATGTTACCGAATGCTTTAGTTTCAAATACACAAAATTGAATGGACAGCCATACCATAAACTACCCTATGAAGTAACAGCATCATACAAGCAACAGGAGTTTAAAATGTTCCTCATTTTGGCTGTTTTAGTTAAAAAGGAAAAACAAATTATTTACAAACTTTAAATAACAATTTTGCAACTGTTAAGAGGTAACAACACTGTACATAATATTGGATAAAGAAACCAGTTAGATGAATAAACTACTGAAGCCAATGATAAAATAATTAATCCACATAAAATCTTGATAATTCAATCTGATCAAGCTAATTGTAAGGACATTCCAATGCACATTACTCAATTTCTTAAAAAATATCAAACTGTCATAGCAAATAATTTCTCAGGAGCTTTAAAGGTGTTATCAGCTTGCTCTTTTCTTCCCCTAGAATAAATTCATTCTTTCTTGAGCTACACTGAACAGCATTACCCACACTCCATCGTAGCAAAAATGTTATTATTTATACGAACCCACAATGTGATCAGTTAATGCAGAGATCAGGGATCAGACCTCTAGATTATACTAGTCTGTATGGTCCTGCCTCCTGGATACATGTGCAGAGATCAGAGAAACCTTTTATTCAATTACCAGCTACTGTCCACTGACAACAATGCTGGGTGACACTACATTTTAGAAATTGGTTGAGAAACAAAAAAAAGCATATTAGAAAACAAAGTATTAAAATACAAATTTAATAAGACTTTTGGTATCACAGTAGTGACTAATTTTAAGTTTTTCAGCAGCTATGTTTATGTTTACAGCTACAGTTTTAACGGGTTTTATTTAACAAAATACATTCTCAAAAAGTGTTGCCATCCAATCAGAGAATTTTTCAAAATTTACACTTGAATCTGAACAAAAATATATATTTTGTGTACTATTTACAGGTTTTTTCCAGCCAGTAATTAAATAAAATGTCACCCAGTTTATACACTGGCTTTCTATAAATATTATATCAATGAATATTCAGTATTTGCAAAATCTAATACTGAAACTTATTTTGCAAATATTCTCTTCTGTTCTTGTTACGTATCGCAATATTGAAAAGGTTAAGTGAAGAACAACATAGTGGTTTTCCCATACTGTTCTTCAAGCTATTTCCGTCACCACAGGTCCTGAACTGAAAAGATTCAATAAGATAAAAACATGTTTGACTCCATTACACCAGCTGTGACAAAGGAGGACTTATAAGCTGAAGTAGATTCATCAAAATGAGAATTGTGGCAGTTTCTTCTGTCCCACAGAAAACGTTCAAGCCACTGACTGCGCAAACACTCAGTATTTTTGTCTCAAAGGATATCTTTTACTTCAACTGTGACAAGCAATTGTGCTGGTATATATATTAAAAAAAGCGCCTTGCTTCTCTACAACTGATCAACAATAAAGTTAGATTTGGGACCCCCAAAATATTCTAACTTTACCAACACTTCAATATTCATTACACAATAATTTATTCTTGATCCAGCACCATTGCAGACAGTGCATTAGGGTCCCTCATGTGTGGGTGTGCTGCCAGAATTTGATCAATTTTCTGCCTTTGACTGACTTCAGGAAATATCTTCAACAAATCTTGTTTTAGTTGCTCAGTTTCCTCTCTTGTTCGCAAAGGGGGCATCTCAGGTCGTCTCGATTCGAGCAAAAAGGTGGGATGCAGTGCTGAAGATGGTACAGTTGGATGAAGTACGACATTTGTCCTCTCTGGCAAAGCTCTAAAGGGAACATGTGTGAAGACGGCATTACTTTCAGGCTAAGAATTGCTAAATGTGCAATTTGCTTTATTATGCAATGTATTATTGCACAAGCAGCTGTATCTGCACGAGCAGGTCTTTAAGCCCTCCAAAACTCTTTCGGTTGAAGGGCCCATTTTCAATTGGATTCGTAATTTCAGACCCACAATCTAAAGTTATACAAAAACGATATAATGTAAAAACTTCATCTTCCCTCAGGTGAAAGGTAACCCACCAGTTCTGCAACATGCCTGCTGAATACTTCAGTGCACCCAACACCCCCCATCATCCAAAAAAAAAAAAACAATTCACTGGGCTGACTCCGGAGATGAAAGGGTTGGCTCACCAAGAATGGCTAAATAGTTGAGGCCTTCACTGAGTAAAGTTAAGAATAAAGGGTGGTTTTGATGAAACATACAAGAGAGGCTTCACAGGCTTGATGTTGAGAAAATGTTTCCACTGGGGGAGGAAAAAAGAGTCTTAAACTGGGGAACAGTGGCAGAATAAGGGGAAACATTTAAAACTGAAATGTGGAGATTTTTTTTCTCAGAAGCCAGTGAAAGTCTAAAATTCTCACCCAGAGTGTTGGGGAGGCTAGATCACAATGTATTTAAAGAGGAGGTAGACAGATCTTTGAAAGTGGGGCATTTGGGGCAATGAGGAAAAACTACAAGAGAACTTGAGGCCTATGGTGGATTAGTCATGGTCTTATCTAATGTTCTTACATCCAAAGTAAATTCTCTCACTGCAGGTCTGATAGCTCCTGTGGAGAGAAAGAGAATTAGAGTCTGATATGACCTCCTCTTTGATTCCGAACAGTCATATTGACTCGAAACATGAATTCTGCTTCTCTACCACAGAGATGGTCACCACTGCTGAGTTTTTCCAGCACTTTCCGTTTTTATTTCGGATCGCCAGCATCCTCAGTACTTTGCATTTATTTGTCCAACTTGTCTCATCCATCATGTACTGGCACACCAGACACGCCAAGGAAGCTACAGAGACCCATCAATAGCTCACCGTTCCCACAAAGTAGTCTTCTCGCCAAGAAACCTGGCTATCCTTACTCAAGAAACACATTCCCATCCTCTCTGCCCAGTTGACCAGGCAGCAGCAAGGTGGTCAACATGTACAGAATTATGAAAAACACAACAGCCTATCCAATCAACAAGATCTCTTTTAAAAGATAAGCACTGTTTGTTTTAGAGCAAACTTTACCTGGTGCACTCAAAATTATCACTCACCATGAGAACTTTCAAATAATCTTTATTTAAAGAGGGGGGTGTAAAAGGTATCAAATGTATCCCAGTAGGGGGAAAAGGAAATGAATCAAAGATGAAGGCTTGAGAGATGAATAGATTAGATATTAAAGTAACTAAACAAACACCTGCATGGTAGCCAGTTTAACAAATAAGGGATTTTAGAAAGCCAGAAAAAAATTACAAGAGAAAATAACCATAAACAACATAAAAGGGTAATATAAATGCTTTATATAAGCACATTTAGTAATGGAGAACCGGAATGATTCAGCTCTCAGAGATGAACATTCAGATCATCAAATCAAAACTACATCTAGCATTAAAGAGCAATTTGACATGTTTGGGATACCACAAACAGTATAACAGTGCATGCTTGAGGTAAAATTGACTCATGATCCCGTGCTGTGGAGCACCATAGCAGGGTTTACTTACATGCAGCATATAATTGAACTGAAAATAAACAAACAGTTACAAAAAATGGATGGCAACTTTGCATTGCCTCAGGTAGTTTAAACATTAAATGGCTATGAAAGACAGAAGGTTCTATAGCCTATCCTTGAACACTGTTGACTCAATATTGTTGACAATAGATAGGCCATAACTGGAATCAATACCTCAGGAAGGCAAAAAAAACCTTTAATGTTTCCTGCTGAAACAAAGAGATATCAGGCAAACATGTAATTGTAACTCGCACTGTTGTAAATATTGACAATATTCAAATTAAATCACAAAGAATTATTTCAGCAAACACTGCATATTCCTTGAGCTCATAAAACTATATTGCAACAAGCAGTTAGAGCCTTCAGCACAACAAAACATCAAAAATATAAAACACTTGTCTCAGAAGAGACTTGTGGAGTAAGTCAAAGTAATTTGTTACCCAAGTGTGTGATAAACAGTCTAATTGCGACAAGTACCTGGAAGCCTCCACTTGATGCAGAAAAGCCTCCAATCCAGGACCATACCTTCCAAGGGGATCATCTGGTAACATGATTAAATCTCCAACAAATGTATACTGTAGTAACCTAATTTATAAAGAAATGGTTCATAACATATCAAATCAAACAAAGTGAATATTAAAATAAAAATCAATGCAAGAATATTTCCAGGTGTATTTCAGGAAAACAGTTGCTCATTTCTTCTGCAAGATGGTGGTAGAGGGTTGCTTTTCAGACTGGAGGCCTGTGACAAGAGATGTGTCACAAGGATCGGTGCTGGATTCACTGCAGTTCGTCGTTTATATAAATGATTTGGATGTGAATTTTGAAGGTACAGTTAGTAAGCTTGCAGAGGAGACCAAGATGGGTGGTGTAGTGGATATTGAAGATAATAATCTCAGATTTCAAAGGGATCTTGATTAGATGGTCTAATTGGCCAAGGAGTAGCATTTGGAGTTTACTTTAGATAAATGTGACATGTTGCGTTTTGGTAATGCAAGTCAGGGCAGGACATACAGTAAATGATAGGGCCTTGGGGAGCATTGCCAAACAAAAAGACTTAGGGGTGCAGGTGCATAGTTCCATAAAAGTGGAGTTGCAGGTAGACAGTGTGGTGAAGGTGGCATTTGGCATACTTGACTTCATTGGTCAGAACATGGAGTATAGGAGTTCGGATGTCATGTTGTGCCTGTACACGACATTGGTGAGGCTCCTTTTAGCATACTGTGCGCAATTCTGGTGACCCTGCTATAGGAAGGATGTTGTTAAACTGGAGAGGGTGCAGAAAAGATTTACAAGAATGACACTGGGACTGGAGGGTTTGAGTTATAAGGCAAGGCTGAATAGGCTGGGGCTGAGGGCGACCTTAGAGAAGTTTAAAAGATCATGAGGGGCATGGATAGGGAGAACAGCCACAGTCTTTTTCCTAGGGTGGGGGGGGGGGAAAGAGTCCAAAACCAGAGGGCATCAGTTTAGGTGAGAGGGGAAAGATTTAAAAAAGGATCCGAAGTGTTACTTTTTCCACACAGAAGGTGGTGCATGCACAGAATGAGCTGCCAGAGGAAGTGGAAGTGGAGGTGGTGGTACAACTACAACATTAAAAAGGCATCTGGATGGGTATATGAATAGCAAGGGTTTAGAGGAATATGAGCAAGTGCTGGCAAATGGGACTAGGTCAGATTGGGATGTCTACCTGATCAGTACAGACGAGTCGGACTGAAGGGTCCGTTTCTGTCCTGCATGACTATCACTCTAAGGAGTATTACAGCAGCTTTAATTTCAGCACAAAGCTAAACTTACAACATTATAGCATTTTACTGGGATTCTCTCAAACATTCCACAATTCCAGAATCTATTGATTTGAATTATAAACATTAGTGTTTAAGTTTAGAAACTAACTTTTAAAAACGATGATTTGCAATTACTTAATTAGCTGAATGCACCATTTAGAGGTGCCCTATACAGTATTAATGTTGTACTGAGACGCCAAATTATTATGGTTTGCAGTTACATAACCTCAACCAAGCAACAATCACTGCACCATAACTGGAACCTATGCTTTTGAGCAGCAGAGAAAATAATAAAAAGGCATAAGCCCAACTCACCAGAAAGTGACAATGCCTCGCCAGGAGACTTGCAACTCTAATCAGCTGACAGTTCTCAAGAGGCCAAGTGCAAAGGTCACTGAACTAAGAAGTTTTCCAACAGAGACAGCTTTGCTGACTTCCGTCTGGGCACTGAGTTTCTCTCTGTGCCTGTCAAGGAACACCTGTGTTGACAGATGGCATTAGGTCCCTAACCCTAATTTGGGTGTACACTTGAAGCGTCGTAATATTTCAGGCTATGGAGCTAGTGTGGGCAAGTGAGACTAATGTAGATGTGCAGACTTGATGGGCTGAATGGTGTACTATATGATTACATGATCCACAGGCAGTTTTCCCGCTCCCACTTCTAGTTACTTCTGCTGGAAGGTGTATTTGTGCAGTCAAATCACAAGGTGGCGCTGTACTTTGTGATAAAGCAACTGACATCAGCCAAGCTCCAACTAAGCCAAAAATTGGTCAATTACTATGATCTAGGGACTACCAGTGCTTGTGGAACAATATCACAAGTTACTCTTTTTAGAAGGAATAAAATGGGGAACATGTGAAATTCTTGCATGTCACACAAGGATATTTCTCCATAAAAATTAATGTATTAATTTTGAGCTTGACTTTTCATACAACATTTAGAGCATTTACTATGGAAAATCAACACACTACACATAATGGAGAAATTCCACTGAAAGGCAAAATCATACTTCTCACATTCAGAGAGGATAAGAGTTCATTTGCCTTTTCAAAGTCTTTGCAAGATACAGAAGTATTCAAGAAAGTAATCAAAAGGTTTTTTTTTAAACAATGAATGATCTCAGCCAAGAGTTGTAAATTGTTAAAATAAATACATTTTTATTCATTTCAGTTACGTTTATTCTAAATCAATGTTAAAGCATGAAGATCCTTTGGCAACTAACAAGTTATGAAAACTATATAAATAAACGTTTGAAGTGACTACTGTTTGTGGAACTTAGTCCATTAATGACCGAGAAAGTCAGCCACTTAACTAACAGCACACTAAGACTGTCTATTTTTGTACTGTTGCAATCATGAAAATGTCACTTTAGTTTGTAAGGTATTTTTGTGGTTTACAGTTTTGAAGGGCTTCATTCTGTAGTAACAAGGAACAGGAAAGAAGGGTCCAGGTTTTTTTGGTGTTGGAGCAGTGACTGGGGGGGGGGGCACTGGAGCATCTGCAAAACTGAGAGAATCATGATAGCACGTAAACAGAGGTGGTCACACTGCAGTCAGAAAGGGAATAGGTAATCACCAGGCATTATAAGAGGATTAGGCAAGACATGCAGGAATCCCCTGTGGCCATTCCCCTGAAAAACAGATATACTGCTTTGCACTATTGAGGGGAATCGTTTCTCAGGGGCAGAACAGCAACAGCTAAATTTGTAGCACCATAATTTGCTCTGCTGCACAGGAGAGGATCAAGAAGTGTGGAAATGCAATAGTTATAGGGGATTCAGTTGTAAGGGGAATCGGTAGGTGAGCCCACAAACAAAAATTCAAGATTGCCTATTGCCTCCATGGTACTCAGGTCAAGAATGTCTCAGAGCGGGTACAGGATATCTGGAGAGAGAGGGTGAATAGTCAATGATCAAGTACACATTTATACCAATGGCATAGGTTAAAAGAAGGTCCTAAAAGCAGAATATAGGGAGATACGAAACAAATTGAAAAGTGGAATCTCAAAAGGCCATGATCTCAGGATCACTACCAGTGCCACGTGCTAGTCAGAGTAGAAATAACAAGATATAGCAGCTGAAGAGATAGTGTAAGGGGAATGATTTCAGATTCGTAGGACATTTAGACTGGTTCTGGAAGAGTAGGACCAGTATAAATTGGCAGGTTACAACTGGGCAGGACTGATGCGTTAGGACAACATTTACTAGAGTGTTTGGGCAGGGTTTAACTAAATTGTCAGCGGGGTGGGAACATAAGCAAGGAGTCAGAGGAAGGGGAATTAAGGACAAGAACAAGACAGGAGAGGGCAATGGAGAAGTGATAGGCAAAGCAATCAAACACCAAAATCAAGGTCCACAGTTTAAAAAAAAAGAGGAATGGGGCAAGGAATGTTAAAGACAAACCTTAAGGCTTTGTGCCTGAACACACAGAGCATTCAAAATAAAGTGGATGAATGAAGCACGCAAGTAGATACAAGAGGGTGTGATATAGTTGGGATTACACAGACAGGACTGCAAGGTGCCCAGGGATGAGAATCAGACATTGAGGGGTATTCAGTATTTAGGAAGGAAAAGGTGGTGGAGATACATCACTGGTTAAAGAGGATATAAATACAATATTGAGGAAAAATACTAACTCAGACAATGTAGGATCTGTGTGGATAGAACTGACAAAATACCAAGGGGCAAAAGACGTTAGTGGGGGTGGTATATAGGCTTTCAAACTGTAGTGGTGATGTTGGGAATGGCATTAAACAGGGAATCAGAGATGCATGCAGTAAAGTAACAGATTTCAATGTCATAGTTGCACTAGAAGTTGCAAGGCATGGAGTGCAACGATTGCAGAATTCTCCTGCAATTTGGGCCAGAGGCAAATTGGGTGCGACTACTCTGCATAAGATTGGTCAAATCAAATTAGTCACAATACCACAGAGGATGAATTCTGGTTTTCTGGATCAATACATTGAGAAGCCAACTAGAGAACAGGTGATGTTAGACTGAGTATTATGCAATGAGAAATGAATAATTCTTAATGCAGTTGTAAGAACCCTTGGGGATTATGGTTGCTCATGTGATAGAATTCTTCCTCAAAATGGAGAGTGAGGTAGGTAATTCTGAAAGTATATTTCTGAATCTCAAACTACAATGGTGGCAGGGCAATATGATGGACTGGGAAATGTTACCAAAAGGAACGACAGTAGACAGGCAATGGCAAACATTCAAAAGTGAATGGGTGAACTACAAAAATTGTTTATTTCTGTATGGTGCAAGAGTGCAAAAAGAGAACAGTGGCCAAACCATGGCTTATGAGGAAAGATAGAGATAGTATTCAATGCAAAAAAGAGGGATACAAATTGGCAAGAAGGAAAGCAACAGACCTGAGGATTGGGAACAGTTAGAAGTCAGCAAAGAAGGACTAAGGGGAAGGAAAAAGTACAGAATGAGTAAGCTTGAAGGGGAACACAAGAAATTACTGCAAATGTATGAATAGATACGGAAAGAGAAAAAAATTGGTGAAAATTACACACAGTTAGAAAGAGAGGAATTTATAATGGGGAAAAAAAAAGAAATGGCTTACAAACTAAATTCATACTTAGCTTCAGCCTTCACAATTGATGGGATTGAAGGCTCATAAATCCCCAGGATCTCAAAGTCTAGATCAGAGACAAAAACAGAATTTGCTCGAAAAACTCAGCATCTTTGGGGAGAAATCAGAGTTAACGTTTTGGGTCCAATGACCCTTGTTCAGAGGTCTACATCATCTACATCACAGTGCACTTAAAGAAATGACCTAGAAATACTGGATGCATTGGAGGTCATCTTACAAGATTCTTTAGACTGTTGAATAGCTCCTACAGATTGGAGGGTAGCTAACATAACTACACTATTTAAAAAAAAAAGAGGTAGTGAGAAAACACGGAATTATATACCACTTTGGTAGCAAAAATATGAAGGCAGATTATTAGTTGAATGGCTGTACACTGAGTGAAGGGAATGTTCAATGAAACCTGGGTGTTTTTGTGCAATAGTCACTGAAGTTAAGTGTGCAAGTGCAGCATGTAGTCAAGATGGCAAACTATATGTTGGCCTTCATAGCAAGAGAATTACAGTACAGAAACAAGGATGTCTTGCTGCAATTATATGGGACATTGGCGAGTTCAAACCTGGAATACTGTCCTTATCCGAGGAAGGATATTCTTGCTTTAGAGGTAGTGCAGTGAAAATTTACCAAGTTGATTCCTAGGATGGCAGGACTGATGGAGGAGGTGAGATTGAGTTGGTTAGAATTGCATTCATTGGAGTTTAGAAGAATGGAGGACGGGGATCTCATAGAAACCTATAAAATTCTAACAGGTCTAGACAATTTAGATGCAAAAAGAATAGAGGAAGGGGTCAAGAACCAGGAGTCACGGTTTAAAGGATAAGGGGTAAACCTTTTAGAACTGAGATGAGGAAAAATGCCTTCACGCAGAGAGTGTTGAGCCTGTGGAATTCATTACCACAGAAAGTGGCTGTGGCCAAACCATTGTGTTTTCAACAAGGAGCTAGATATAGCTCTTGTGGCTAAAAGGGATCAAGGGATATGGTGGGAGGGCAGGATTAGGGTATCAAGCTCAATGATCAGTCGTGATCATACTGGACGGTGGAGCAGACTCAAGGAGTCATTGGCCGATTCATGCCCCCATCTTCCACGTTCTATTTTTTTTAATGTAAATACATAATCAATCCAATTATTTTAAGCAGGCAGCCTGGTACTTACAAAGCACTACTCATGAAGACAAAACTGAGTTCAGGAATCGCGATGGACAAGATGTCCAAGGGCACAAAGAAAACAATGAATGGTTTGGAAAATTACGACAACAATGGCAACACACAGAGGGAGGGGTTTGGGTCTGATGGTTTAAAAAAAAAAACACAGCAATGGCAACTTGGGTCAAAGTCTTCTACCATTGTTCACTCATAAGGCTGTTAGACCTCACTCCATTCAGTGCTATTAACACCGGCTACCCGAAATAATGCCACCAGACATTGTGCCTTGCTTAGTGTTCCAAAATTACAGCTGGACTCAAGGAGCACTTTCTGGGACTTTTATGTTTGTACTCAAATTCCTAGACTGCTTTCTCAGCATCCCCAAACTTGCACGTGCCTTCAATTTTCTGAGACCAAGGCTGCCTTCTTAATGCCTTCTGATCCCATGATCCCTTTTGGAAGATCCTAATGCCGAGTCATGTCCTGACATGAATAAATCCCCTTTACTTCAAGACATATTTATTATAGTAAATGGACACAACTAAAATAATAAAACTGCCACATGGTTACCTGTCTTGAATTATTGCTTTCCAGGCTGGAGATTCATGAACAAATTCTTTGAGGTTGTCATTAGTAACAATAATCCCACCAGTTTTCTCAGCAAGGTGCAACAAAAACCTGTAAAACGGCAAACACAAATATCTTGAAAATATTAGTAAAGACTGTTAACTACAGCAACTGAAGATGGGAAATACCTCACTATATCTCAAGTTTTGCACTTTGCAAATCTACATCCAACCCATCACTTCTTTTAACTTCCTACTGCTTTGTCACTACCTCAGTCTTGAATTTCTTATAAAACAGGCCACTGACAGTGAATCTCAAACTAATTTCTTTTCCCAATACTTGAATAACAACTTCAGTCACTGATCACTACTTGGTTTGGTGCCAGGATTTCTTGTGACATTTTACAATGTTAAAGATGTAAAATGAAATCATGTAATTGCATTAATATCGAAGCTATGATAAACAGGACCTAGGAACAGTATGAAAATGTGAAAAAAGCTTGACCTTAATCAATTATGGCCTATAGATTACACTACTACAAAATTAATAGATTTCTATTACAAATTAGAGATGTTTGAAGGAAAAAAAGAACACCTTATGCCACTGCAATTTTTAATATTCCATCATAACTTTTCTCACTTCACGACCTAAAAGAAAGTCAATAGCTGCCAGTTGGTCCTGTTGGTTGTCTTAGAATGCCACGTTTTTCTGGCTATAACGGTATCCATTACAACGAGGGACTTTTATTATACTTAATTACACTTGAAGATATCCAACACAAGTTCTTATTTCATAATTCAGTACATCAGCAGTTTTAAAAAAAATGAATACAGTACTAACAGGCTATGAAATTTTACTGTTTGAACAATCTGTACCCATTGTCATAAAGCTGCAGAAATGCCAAGTTTTATGATTGTTCATTTAGATTTCTTCTTGCCTTTCTTTCTGGTTTTCAATCAGCTCAAATTACTTGACTGTTTCAATCTATTTGCTTTATGGTTTCCCATCAGTTTCCAATTTTTGCATTTACAATATCTTTTACATGATACTTCTCAAGACCACTGCGACCACATATCAAAAGAAAAAGCACTACATGGCAAATGCTAGTTGCCTGCCAATTCAATAAGTAAATGCTAAAATTAACTGTCCATCATTTGAACCTTGTTTGATTTTACAGAACTATAAAACCGCAATTAAAGAAATATCCATATCAGAAAATAACCAAGTTCAAATAACCCAGTTCATGTCAATGGTCTGAAGTAAAGAATACAGGGAAGATGTGCTGGATATGTCATTTTACCTGTCATCATGTGATGCAATTCTTACTCCACACACTGTTCTGGCTGGTGTGAAAGAAAGCACACCGAGATCTTCAAGTTCAGTTAAGAAATGCTGCTCTGTTCAAAAAAAAGAGAATACTTATCATACTAACCTTGTAATTTTGAGACCAGTACTTCAAAATGGAAAGCAAAAAATTATTGTACTGACGAACCAAAGGCTATCATTGTCCAAGTATTTTTTCAAATTTGTGCACACTCATATTTACATACATGAAGCCTTAAAAAGTCAGAGATTGGAAATAAACAATGGCTGATTTTGTGCAAGTCTGAATAGAACCAAGAATGTTAATTTAACTTGAGTTCAACTTAGAACTGCTCACAGGAAATTCTAAAGAAATAATCGCTCTTTTCCTCAAGAAAGTCAGCACACTTATAAATTCAGTGCACGTAAAACGTTACTTTTCAAACAAAAATCACAAAATTTTCAACATTTGTGCAAATTTTAGTTTTTCTTGTAAAAACATACCTGTAATTTTGGCATCACGTTTGGTTCTCCACTGAGGAACAAACACAGTTATATTTCGGTGACCACGATTCCAAAAACATTCCACTGCAATTGCAATACCACGACAGGAAAATATTTTTTTCATTCCGTGGCTAGGAGAATAAAAATATAGAACAAACTATAAAACTATTGGGACTCAAAATACATAACTGCATCACATTCTTGCAGTACAAATTCAAATCAACCCTGATTGATGCAGAGGACAAGGATCTGGAGATTCTCCATCTAGCCACAACTGTACATCTTACGGTCCCGTTTACCCAAAGTGAATTTATCTAACCCCCTTAGCTGCATTTTTTTTGCTATCTGCATCTACTACTGTGTGGTAAACTAAGTAATCTGAGCAAGGAAATTTCTCAAATTCAACAAGGAATTCATTAGGGGCTCTCATATTGCTGACACCTAGATCTGGATTCCACACTAGCGGAAATACCTTTTATGCAACTACTATTTTAAAGCTTCATAATTTTAAAAGGCATGAATTAGGTTACATTTCAGTCTTTTATTTGTAAAGAGATTCGAAGAATGTTTGACGCCAGTTTCTAGTATCCTCCTCTTAGTAAATCCTTTTAACATCCTCTCCAGTGCCTCTAGTCTATGCCTTTTTAGCAATATGGAGAAGAACAGGCTGCAATCCAAATGTGATCTAACCATATTTCTAAACAAGCTTTCTCTCCCACCTGCCACCCAATTTTACTCCTTTCGTTTTAATTTTATGAACTTCATTATATAAATTATATAAAATGACAACATCCATTTTGTCTTAGAAAACAAATTTGGAAAAATAACTGAACGGAATGAGAACTAAAAAAAAACAGCAACCACAGATAGGCTCCATGTAAAGGGTGAAATTTTTAAAAAAAAAGTCAGAGAATAAATGGTGCAGAGTTCTAAAAGGTAAAATTCATCGAGCTATTGTAAATGAGGTGGTCAGAAAAATGAGCAGCAAGTGATGATACATCATGTTTTATCATAAAAAGGCTAACTTTCAATCAGGAAAGGGGTTGTAGTCTAGAGGTGCGTTTATAGAGATATGAACAAAGAGAAATGATTGTGTGCACACGTTGTGTGTGGGGTGTGGGGGGGGGGGGGTGGAGAAGGAGGTCAAAAAATATTGAAGCCTTTAAGCAATACAGAGAATATAATAGTTAGCAGACAATATAAAAGGAAACAGCACGAATATTTTGGAGATAAACTCCCTCCACCTGAGTATTGCTTAGAGTGAAAAACAGGTATTGCACAGATATCAAATAGATATTTTTGAGTTTTAACAAATAATAGCGTAAATGCAAAGTAGCGCACCAGATGATATGGAATAAGTAACAGAACTACATTAAAGGAATTGTTTCTGAATTTTTCTTTTCAAAAAAAAAAAAAAGAACTCCAGGTAGACAAGGTCTGGATGGCTTGTATCCTTTGCTGATGAGAAAGAATAGAAGGGAGATGAAACAAAAAGAGAAATTGCTGGAGAAACTCACTAAGTCTGGCAGCATTTGTGGAAAGGAAGTACAGCCAATTTTTGAAACTCTGCAGAAAGATGACTGGGCCCAAAACATCAACTCTGCTTTCTCTCCACAGATGCTGCAAGACCTGCTGAGTTTCTTCAACAACTTATATTTTTGTTTCAGATTTCCAGCATTCACAGTTCTTCGTTTTTAGAAGGGAACTGACCCAGCTTTGGCCAAAATTTGTTCATCTTCTAGTTTTCTAAATTATGCAGTCAGACATTGATGCGGCCAATGCAAGAAGGAAGAGAAAGGGTGGCACAGTGGCTAGCACGGCTGCCGCTCAGCGCCAAGGACCCGGGTTCAATTCCACCCTCGGGTGATTGTGTATGGAGTTTGCATGTTCTCCCCATGTCTGCATGGATTTCCTTTGGGGGCTCCAGTTTCCTCCCACAGTCCAAAGATGTGCAAGCTAGGTGGATTGGCCGTGCTACGTTGCCTGTAGTGTCCAGGGATGTTTGGGTGAGACATGTGGAAATGCTGGAGTAGGGGAATGAGTCAGAGTGGGATGCTCTTTGGAGGGGAGGTGTGGACTTGTTGGGCCGAATGGCCTGTTTCCACACTGCAGGGATTCTATGATGAACTACAAACTTGATAATTGTTGTTTTAGGATTTTATCCGAACCTTTTACATAGTCTAGGCTGATTTGTTTTCTAATTAAACCGTTCAGAGATGTTATTAGACACCTCTAGATCAGGGGAGACTTGAACCCAGGCCTCCACAGCCCAGAGGTGAGGATTCGACCACTATGTCACAAGGGCCTTCCAATAGTTTAGTCTGATTTCCTGCCTGTTGATTAAGACGACTAAACTGTCAAGACAACTCAAGAACAACTCTGCACAGCTGTGAGAAACTGCTCTTCTTGATAAACTCATGACCTTAAGCAGTTATGTCTATCTCAATTACACTTCAATTCAAGCTTACTCATTTGGTCTTAAAGAAATAAGTTAGTTTCTGGTGCGCAGTTTTATCTTAACATAGCTTACTGACTAACATTTTTGTTGGATGGGAACCATGCATTAAATTCAAGTTAGGGCTGCTAATACCTTGATTTATTAACCATATCTATTGTAAAGTCAGGAAAAGTTGCCATAGTATACCAGACCTAGTATACCAGGCTGTACTCTCTTTGGAAAGATAACACTGGTGGTGGTCTAACTGGAGGTTACCACATCTCAAACAAGGGGGGAGACTGAGAAGCTTCTAACGCTGCATCACAAACTAGCCGTTCTGCCAAATAAGCTAACCAAACCCCATCTATTGTATAAGGGTACCAAAGCTTCATGAAGTTATCTTGCTTTATTTTGCTTTCCTTTCTGTGATTTCCACAAGTATACTTTACTAATATCTGCTATGTAACCTCAAGGACACATAGGGGAGAGGCAGCATTTGTCTCAGCCTGCAAGACTCTAGCTAGAGATGTGGGGTGACAAAGTGATCCTCCATCAAAGAAAGGGTCAATTCAGCCTATTTCCTAATTTGGACTCTTGAAACTGGGGATTAAGACTGATAACACAGTCACTTGCACAGTTTCGCCATTGCTTCGATGGTGTCACCCCTCTTTCACATAAGACATAATTCAATAGAAACAAACAGCACTGCATTGCCCACATTCGAGGGAATCTGGACCAGGGTGGGCAGATGGAGAGTTGTATGGCTTTGAAGAGAAGTAAAAAAAAAAGCATGAACATCTTTGCCGTCTGCACTGCCTTTTTGCTGAGAATATCTAATACCTTGCTCAATAATGTCTACCTCATTTCACCACACCTAGTTGCTCTGCACTTTGTAGGTCATATCTGACCCATACAGTTGCAAATTAGCATTTTTGAAATTAATATTTTATCTAAAGTTTTCACTAGGAGGAGGCGAAGACGTCCTACCCAAAGGCAAAATGGCTCAGAATTCCCACAGACATCACAATGCCTTGACTCAAAATTCACAGTTTGAAATGTATAAGCTTATCAAGAACAGCCACAGATTTATTAGGCCTTGCCCATAGTCAAGTTTTCTTTTGAAGGCATGACGAATTAAAGGCAATACAACAGAAGCAGTGTATATGGAATGACTTCTGAAACCGTTAAGATGTTTGCTCACTATCCACAATCACCAACTTATCCAAACTTTCGCTTGGATTGTATACTTGTTCAGGTATATAAGATGAATGTAAAGTTTGTTGGTGCACAGTAAAATCTCAACAAATGGGCATTACTGTGTGGAAGGGAGGAGTGAAAAGTGGTATTTGAAAGGGATCTGTGCTAGGTAGTTTTATTCTTGGTACAAGTTTTAGAATAAGGAATACAATTTGAAATCTGATGAGAAAACAAAAATTTGAGGGTTGTCAAACAGTGCGGAGAACAGTAAAAAAGACTAGCTGGTAGAATGGTAAACCAAATTATGTGAAGTACATTTTGGGAGATAAATCAAGGAATAATACTACACCTAAAATGAAAAACTACACAAACCCAACTCACTATCTTTCCAATAACAGATAAGCAACCTTCTTCTCCTCCACAATCTAACACTTTATGACCACAGATAGTTCTCCTATAACACAGTCATGTTATTCTGTGACCTTGCGCCGTAGAGACAGAGAGCGAGTGAGCGAGAAAAAAAAAAATCACACTATTCCCACAGAAAATCGCGTTATAGGGAAATTGTTATAGAAAGTCACTGTACTTGTACAGCAGAAAGTTCACGTTACCCAAACAACGTCCACTATTCAATCGCTTAACAGCCAATTCATGTTAACGAAACATGTGTAATAACAGAACTACGGGCATTACTTTTTCAAATGCAAGTAGAAGAGTACAATAAATTCTGCAACGCCAATGATGTCCATCTCTCATCAGCAAGTGTTCCTCCACCTTTCAAATCCTCTGTATGTTAGAATCCTACAACCTTCAAGGATCTTGATACAGCAAACCCCTCCCCTTTCAACAATCCAATCCCTATGTCTGTAAGCAAACTAGAGTAACCCACCCTTTTAGCCCTGAACCTCATTGAAACAATACGGCAATTTCATTTCGAGTCCATTTTGGCGGAGGACATTAAGTTCAGCAGCACTTTGTTGTTTTATTGTTGGAGGTTTGAGGTAGGGCTGCATAAAATGTGTGGAATGTGACTCACTAATGGATCTATGGCACTCATTAGCAGTAAAGGGAGGAAGAAAGCCACAAGTCAAGCAGCATTGCTGAGGAAAGGTGGGGAGTATTCATACAGTAGTCTGATTATAGCAAAGAGAACTCCAAACATTAAATTTGATGTCATCTGATTGAGATTCTGTGTCAAGGTTTCACCAGCTTTCAAACTTGAACTTTTTAATAAGTGAACAGAACTTGCTTCTTACGGACACTTTTTTTTGAAAAGAGAAGCCCAACATAACTTATATCTGAATTAAGCTCGTGAAAGTTGTCCTCTAGCTTTATATCAAACAATTTGTTGATAAACAAATATTCTATAGGAGTGAGACAGAAACATTGTACAAATTGTTGATTTAAGTGCCACTGTTATCTTGGAAAACTGTGTTTAATCCATTGGCAGACTGCAAGATTGGCCTCAAAACATTTACACTCAAAGTCCTACGCTAA